GCGGCCGCTGCGCGACGGGCTCGGGGGAGAGCTGGCGAGCCAGCACTGGGGCGAGGTGGCGAGATGCGAAGGTTTGGGATGTTTTCGGCGTAATTCACGGAGGGTCGGGGTGTTCCCTTGCTGCTCCTCTGCGCGCATCTGCCCTCGCCAAAACGAGGTTTTAGTCGTGAAACGGCTTCCGTTTTTCCCACGCAGCTGCTGTCGGAGAGGCTTTGGGAAAAGTGCACCTGATAGTCCTGGAAACATCAGTAGATCTTTCAGCAGTCCCGTAAGGCAGCGCTTAAAATGACAGCGGTTGGTGATAATCTTTCAGAGCCGGTGAAACAGCGGCCACGTTGTGCTTAGCCGGCTCGGCCCGGGCAAAGTGCTTGGTGTGCTGTGATGTATAGATTTCGAAAAATACGTGTTTTAAAGAATCTGCCGCAGCAGTGCACTTTGGGTTTCTGAAGCATGTGGATTCTTTAACATGTCTCTGTCTCTGTTGGACGTGCAAAAGCTTTTTAGGGCTCCGAGTGAAGCTGAGGCTGGAGTTTCTGCACCGTTTATCAGCTGCTGGGAGCTCTGCAAGTCTTTAGTACACTGACATCAGTCTGTGTTCAGCCCTGATGTAGCAAAATCTTCAGCATTTGTCTTTTCCATGAAAACAAGAATATAGCCTAGCGTTTGGCCAGCTTCTGAAAAACTTTAGTTCTCTGTCTTAATTTTCTTGAGCTGTCACATAGTAAGCTATATGATGGCTTCTTAAAATACTTCTTGTTTCGCATAGTTTCCCCACAGCAGTATCTTCAATAGCAACTAGAGGAGATACCAGCTGTTGATTTCCTTATTCCCTATGTTCTTGTCCCCTCTGGATGACATCATAGCTAATCTGTAAGGGGTACAGCTGAAATACTCGTATGCAGTGTCCTGAGAAGTGAGATATTACCAGTGTTCTGGCTGAGTTTTAAGTGATGGTACAGCTACATAATTCGGAAGGCACTGTGAGACCATCTTCTGTAATGTTTGCCTGCAGGTAACGTGCTTCCTTGTTTGCCTGGGAGGAAAATAGTGTAAGACTCATCTGGAGATGCACATCTGGAGAACGAATGCAGAATTTCTGAGGAAAAAAATATGCTTACGCCCAAAGTTAATCTGTGTAACAGTTTACAATAGTCTAAAGATTTGGAATTCTTGTTTAAACTTTGCTTTTTCTCTCTTTTCCTTCCCCAGGAGCCAAAAATCTAGAATGGCTCTAGTGTGCAGTCATTTAAAAAAAAGTAGTTTTATTTCTTGTTTCAGCAATTAATGTCATTATGTGCTTGACAGAGACTTGGAAGACCATTCAGTCTTAATTTGACCACCTTGTTGGTCATCTGCTTCTGCTTTCCTTTGAGAAAGGATAACTAGGTTTCAGTTAGTTATAGGCATCTTTGTGGATTGAAGTAGAGCTACTTGCTATCTGAACAAGTACAGAGTCAGTTTAGTATTTGTGAATCACTGTTGTACAGCTCAAAATTGCACCATGCTTTTGCTTGACTTTTTGGGGTAAGCAAAAAGTCACTCAATGTTCCTACTGCTAGGCAGCAGCAATCAGAGCAAATTTTCTTCTAGACTTTTTATTATTAACGCTACCTTTCAAATTTCAAGTCCCAAGAAGGTCTTGAAATGTGTTCTTACTCAATTTTCGAGATTAAACTGGTGAAGTGAGAATGACTGTTTCGTGTATACTGAATTCATCTAGTTGAAGTGGGTGCTCTCATTGTAGAACATAGTGTAATGCCTCCAAAAAACCCCAGAATCACACGGAATTAGTGAAGCCTTGTCTGCTTTAGTACATCAAAGCAGATTAGTGCCTAGTTCTTAGGAGAAAATGTGGTGTTTTGTTCTAATCTTGCTGAGTTTCCCATAGAGTCGTTAACGTGTAAGAAATGTTTGTGCAAGGTCAAAGGGTGGTCTGTCCTCGTTCCTTGTGTTTGGTGCTAGTCAAAAGTGCGTGCCTAGGGAATGCTGTTGTAAGGCGAGGGCAAACATTCAATGCTCGTAGTGGATTGGTGCCTGGAGCAGTATTATGGGTAAACTTGGCAACATCCACTCTTTCTGATGGCAGAGTCGTGTAGCTCACGTAGATTGAAGAACCGCTGCCTCTTGAACTTACTAGTGCTCTCTTCACTTGCTGAAAGAACCATGGGGCGTAGGAGGAGGCAGCAAATAAGGAGTCCCTGTTCCCCTTTGCCAACCCGGGGGATGCTTTAGGCCTTGTATTGTATTCCCTGTTGTTGTTTCTTTTCACTCTAATCTATTATTCCTCTTACTTCTAATCGTCCTTGTTACTGCTGTTTATGCAGTGAGTTGTAGTGTGCATAAAGCAATTTTGGCGTAATATCTGAAATCCTAAGCCAGATGGAATAAATTTGTTACCAAGATTTTTGTTTTTGAAGTGTGGTTTAAAAATGCTTAATTTTTTTGAAGTGAAATTAGTGATTAGAAACTTTGCAGTGACAGAAATCAAAGTTGTCAAAGTTGTATTTGCAACAGTAACATTTAACTATTTGTTAGTAGTTTAGTGTAGCAGTAATAATAATGGTAATTACACTGTGTACTTTTTTATAAACGTCATATTTTGTAAGAGCTGTCACTGCTTGTTACTAACTTGATTTCAATTATTTGTTAGATAAACAGCGGTCTTTTGTTGTCGCTGTTTCTTGGGTCTCTAATTCGTAATGGCTTTGTAACTTCACGGAAGCACAAATGTTTTTCCCCAATCCATAGTGTACAGCTGCAAGTAAATACCACATTTAAAATGAAGTGTCCACTGTATAGTAACTTATCCAATTCTTGTCATTCCAGAGTTTTCTTGGAGGCTTTTTCGGTCCTGTTTGTGAGATTGATGTTATTCTTAATGATGCTGAAACACGAAAAACAGCAGAAATCAAAACAGAAGATGGTAAAGTGGAAAAGCATTTTCTCTTCTATGATGGAGAATCTGTTTCGGGAAAGGTAAACTTTTTTTTAAAAATGGCTATTAGTTACTGTACTGATTCTGACATGCAAATGCAGATAGGAAGGTAAATGAAGAACTTGTATAAGTAAGAGCTGCAATTTCAGCTTGTGTTGGTATTTGAAGAGGAAATAGTGTTTTCCTATATATGAGCTTTTTAATCATTGTCTTGGAGGCAACTGATAAAACTGAACGTTTTGAATAGTAGCTGTGTATTTGTTTCCGGTCGTCTTCTATTTATGAATAAGCTTTTTGTGCAACTACGTGCAATCCTATTGTTGCTGCTGACAAGAAAACCATTCCAAATTGGATCCCTCTGCTTCCCCTTGAACTCCAAAATCTACAACGCTACATGTGTAACAGTAGGTTTTGGCTGGCGCAGCCATACCCCAAAGCTAAGCCTTACATTTCGTGCTCTGAAGTGATTTCTGGAATTGCATCAGAGGAGCAACATCTGAAGTTCAGCTGACTGCTGAGCCGATAAGACTTTCTTGTTAGAAAAAAGAAACAAAGTTGAGATTGCCAGAGGGATTTCTCTACTTTCAGTATCGGACCTAGGAACTCCCTGCCGTTACTCTCGTTTTACTGGAGCCGATCTCATTCTCTGCATGTTTCCTACAAAAAACTCGAGCTGAGTATTGGGTTCTGAGATCGACTTCTGAATACCTCCTTCGATCTTGACTGACCTACTTTCACTCGGCATCTTCCTGCACTTAAGATATGTTTCCATGCGAAGATCTTGGTTCTCTAGAAAGATCCTTTGAGGGATGTGAAACTGTCACAAGATGGGCCTCAAACTCAGGAAACTGGGGGAACTAGCTTTTGCATGTTCACTGGTCTGAGCAGTTCTCACTTGTATCAGCAATGCCTGATTGGTGCCTGATGAGTTTTGGCTAACACAATCACAATGGGATGAGGAGGTCTAGAAAAGCAGTAATTTATTGGACAACTTCCCTCTACTTCTCTCCTCCTTTTCACCACAAAGATTATTCGAGTGGTTTACTTCCTGCTCAGATATCGACGATGTACCGGATTTTAAGGTCATCACTACCTTGTGAGAAAACATGGTATATGCTTAATATTTACATGCTTCCATAGAAAGTAACCTTGTGGAATCTTTTCTTGTGATGTGAGGTCTATCTGTGTGCATCAAATTCACAAATGAAGATCTCAATAGTAGGTTTCAGTCTCTGTTGTTTTTCATTGACTTCTCTAACACCAATACTTAACTATCTGCTGAGGAAGAGACTTGAGTTCACCTAACTTGGAAGGAATGCATGTCGTGGCACTTCTTTTTTGGACTTCCAAATGTGACTGTCAGAAGATGCTTTGAAGCTCTCTGCCTTCAGAGGTGGCAAGAGGGTCATGACTGGCTTATGTGAACTCTGCTTAAGCTCTGGCTTGGATTCTTAATTTTAGGACTTGAAAGTTTCAAGCTTAGTTACTAAATTCAGTTTTGTGGATGATTAGATTTTTCTTAGATGCTTTAATGTTGCCTTGGTAATGCTTAATTTCATAATCAGCTGTTTGGTTTAGTTCTCTTTAAGCTCAGGTAGTGTTATTGAGAAGAGGTCTCAGTTTTCATGGGCATTTAGTAATATGTTTTCCTTTTTACTGAGATCATGTATTAGAGTGAAAGTGTTGAAAAAATCTAACTGTTCTTCTTTATTTTGCCTTGGTAGGTGAACGTCTCCTTCAAGCAGCATGGGAAGAGACTAGAGCACCAAGGAATTAGAATTGAATTTGTAGGACAAATCGGTGAGTTTAAGCTATAAAGGGGATGTTAGGTGCACGTGATTTATGGAGCTTGACCATTGTGACTGTCAGCAGTTTGGCTTAAACATTGCAACCTGATCAGGTTAGTGGGTGACAAGTGCCAAAGGAGGATTATATCCTCCTCAATTTAATGCAAGTGATGTACTAATTTGTGCCAGTCAGAAAGTCATTGGGAGGGAAGATACGTACATGCAAGGGAGAACTGGGATGGTGAGTATTCTTTCTGTCTCTGACTGATTAAAAGTTTGATTAAGATTTCTGAAAACTAAATTTATGGTCTTTAATTCTGACTTTGGAAGAGAAGAAACATAGAAAAATTCTTTGGTGGTTGGTTTTCTAAAACCTGGTTTTATACTGTTAACATAAGCCAGTATTGATGCTTCAGAGGTTCTCTGTGCTTTTTAGCAAGATGTTATGGCATTGACATTAAAAATTTTCTTACGACTGTATCTAAGTCTGCTTAGACTTGAACTATGAAGAATCTGGATCACATCTAACTTCTTACCAGTCGAGGTAATCTCCCTGCACCTTTAGGCTGATGCTAAAATTCCTTCCCCCTCTGTTAGAGGGCTGTTTGCATGATTGTCCCCCTTGGAAGCAGTTCTTCAAGTTTCAGCCTCAAACAATTGATTTCGATTGGAATTTCATAAATTCTCTGTTTCTGATCAGTCAGTAGGCCCCAGTACCCTGTGTGTGAACGGTTATGTAGCAGATATAACTGAGTTCTGATGCCTGCTGCTTTATGCTTTGAAGTTTTGATCAGTGGGGCAGTAAAAGCAAACTTTCAGAATAAAGCAGCAGTGTGATGGGAATGAGGCATTCAGAGGCAGGGAAAAATAGAGCTTACGTGTGTCAGCTTCATTTAGTCTGTTGTCTTCTAATAGCTGTACAGGCTGTTCTTCATCTACTCTGCTATATAAGTTTTATTATCTAAACGACTTTAATTTGATTTAGTCTTTCTTGAATTTTGTGTTTCTGGGGCTTTCTGTTGTGGTATTGTTTAGAAGTCCTCAGAGTTATGCAGAAGTGGTTTAAGCTGCTGCTTTTTGTACTTGTCCATGTTTTCTTGCATCCTTTCCAGTTTCAGTATAGTAATACAAACAGCATCCCAGTAGTGTGATCTGTCTCCGCACTACTTGGAGACTAGCTTCAGCTGAATGTCAGAAGACATATTTTAAACCAACTCTTCAGAGTACAACTTTTCTGACTGGCCCAAAAAGTATTGGGAATGCAACAGTGAATAAGCGTTGTATTATATAAATGCTTGTTGTAGCAAACAAAGTACACCTTAGATAATTTGTCATATTAGAAAATAAGCAGTTACTAGTTAGTGGCAGTTTCTATCAAATTGGTAATGATAAACGTGGAGTTGGTGTGTTTAGTTTGTTTTTTCTCTTCTGAAAAGCTTCAGTCTGTGAAACCAACTACTGCTAATGTTTTAGCTTATATTTTCAGTTGTGAATTGTTCAGAAGCTTGTTTTTATATACTAAAGTGTTTGCATTTTTTATGGTAATGTTAATTTTTTCTAACTTCGTAAGTTTTTATCTTGGTGAGGATTGCATGACATAGATCTCGTGATGAATAATAGTGACACTGGTCTGGGGATAGGAGATGCTGTTGCTGTGAAAGTGTGTCTATGCTTATGTATTAAGAACTTGTTTCCAAATTACGGACTTAGACCAGTGGTCATAGTAAGCCATTTGATTGTAGCTAGTAGTAATAATAAAACATTCGATAGGTGTTGTTAATCTGCAGGAGACCAGTTGGGATCAGTGACCTGTCCTAAATGAGCCAGTCTTCATGTTGCTTAGATTTTTGTCCCCTCAGCAAAAAGTGCTGGAAGCCAAAATCAGGCAATGGTAGTTACAGAGAATGCAAGACAAGAAGTACTTATTAAAGCTAGCTAAACTGTCATTAAAAAAAGATGGCATGCTAGTGAAGCTTGAAATATGTGTTCTGTTCATTGCAGTTAGCTCTTTAGGAGTGCTTACTGTAGATTACTGAAACTGAAGATAACTTTGAAAAACTGGATAAAACATTTGGTGAAATACATGTAGCCTAAATCACATTAATTGCTTATATTGTCCTCTCCCACCTGCTCCTGCCAAATTAGATATAGTTTTGTTTGCTAAAAATAAACACTGAAACATATTTTCCTTCACTTCCTCAACTTTAGAACTCTTCAATGACAAAAGCAATACCCATGAATTTGTAAACTTAGTTAAAGAACTGGCCTTACCTGGAGAACTGACTCAAAGCAGAAGCTATGACTTTGAATTCATGCAGGTTGAGAAGCCATACGAATCCTACATTGGTGCCAACGTCAGGCTGAGGTTTGTAACTGTTAAGCCTTCTCTCCCTTCCTCTCCTGTGGCAAATTCATAATTTAGCTATTACGTTGCCCCTTCTCCCCTCTTTCTCCTTTTGGATTTCAAATTAGACGTATAACAGTGAGTAGCTAGTGTGCCCTGATTGGAGTTGTTGAGATGGTGTTGTAATGTAGCCTTTTCTGCTTTATTTGGAATTGCTCAGTGTTGTTTGTAGAGATAAAATTCTTTCAGTTCAGTCAAGTGAAGACAATTCATGTCTCTCCTTTGAAAACAACAAAAAAACACCCACCACAAAAAACCAAAACACCGCAACCAAACGAAACACCCTCACATTTCTACCTGTAAGTGTTTTGTCTTGTACTTTGGTGTCTTGCTCTTTTTCTGCCTAGTCTTAAGAGAATGTACTGATGTCTTTCAAAGAACATCTGTACTTCAGAACATAGGGACTTTCATTTACAAGATTCTGAATAATTACGGCTAACTTCGTGGCTTTCTTCCTAGGTATTTTCTAAAAGTGACAATAGTGAGACGGCTGTCAGACTTGGTGAAAGAATACGATCTGATTGTTCACCAGCTTGCTACGTACCCAGATGTAAACAACTCCATTAAAATGGAAGTAGGCATTGAAGACTGTCTTCATATAGAGTTTGAATACAATAAGTCAAAGTAAGTGTCACTTAGAACAAAACGTACTGAACTAAGTATCTCGGGATAAAAAGGTAGAGTATGTAATATTTGATGAACAACCTGGCATCTGGAGACTTAAAATGTAAAGCAACGTTTTCAATGATTATTGTTTTGAGCTGTTTGGTTAATTACACAACGGCCTTTTTTGAGGAATACTTGTCTGTTCTGCCTTCAGTACTAGGAAGGTCACTAGCAAATATTTAAGACTTGATTTCTGCATTTATGCTTTTTCAATATAGCAGCAAATATTTAAGACTTGATTTCTGCATTTACGCTCTTTCAATATAGGTATAGTACTTCCTTTACTAATATTGCAATGATGGAAAGGTGCTAATTGCACTGGTCGGGCTGAGATGCTTAGCTCACTGGGGAAGTAAGCTCTAAGTAGTTAACAGGCAGATAAGGTAACTACCTATATGGCTTGTATTCAAGAAAGTGTAAAAGTTGTGTTTATTCTTTAGTGAAAACCCCCATTCTGTTCTCTTACAGGTATCACTTAAAGGATGTGATTGTTGGAAAAATTTATTTCCTCTTAGTGAGAATAAAAATTCAGCACATGGAGTTGCAGCTGATCAAAAAAGAGATTACTGGAATTGGTAAGAGAAACAAAGTCCAAAAGAAATGCCAGCTTGTATCCCAGTTGAGCCTTATGCAGACCTGGAGAGTGAAGTCAATACTTGCAGCTTTGGCTAAGCCAGTGCTCCATGTGCTTGTTTCTCACTGGTGTTTGACTGCCATTTGCATTTTGTGCTTTGATAGTCATACTTAGTAGTCAAGATCGTCAGTCTGTAGCATTATTCTGGGCTTGTGCCTGTTGGACTAGCTTCACAAATGTGAACCATTGTAAATGGAACTTGGTCATAAATATGCAGCAGCTTAATCAACCTTGATAGATAATGAAGAAGAGAAAAGGTGTAAAATGCATCCTGAAGACGCCCTTGCCTCTGCAGAGGTTAGCTGGTAAAGTGGGCTTGGTAAAGATTAGCATGAATCTCTCATGATCTAGAAACATGTCGTTTTCAGTCAGCCTAAAACTGATAAAATGGAAATATCAAGAGGCTTTGAAGCAGAGACAGCTTGATTATTGAAAATCAGGCTTGTACACCCTGAAACCAGGAGGGCAGTAAGAGGCTGTGGCTCATGACTTCATTCCCCAGTGTCTGGGGCCCTAGTGAGCTGATCACATGGAGAATGAGAAAGCCTCCGTAGCAATAGAGGATGGGCAGAAAGCTCTACTTTATTGTTGGCTCTTCCAGCTAGGTTAGGTGCTCTTGTTTCTTCATCTGAGGCTCTGGAGAAAGGTGGTTCTTGTGATAACCCTTCAAGTTTCCAATCTGATCATGACCTAGTAATATCAGTCGTTAGCACTGCCCACCAAATGGAACTGTTTCACAAGTCCTGCCCTGCGTGCTTGTCTCTTATTTAAAGCCTGTTAGCACTGCCCACCAAATGGAACTGTTTCACACGTCCTGCCCTGTGTGCTTGTCTCTTATTTAAAGCCTGCGTACTCAGGGCTCCTTTGAAGCTCTGGCTACTGCCTCTTTTGTGACAGCATGGGGAGGAGAGAGCAAGAAATAGGTGCTCTGCGTGGGAGAGGGTTTTGCTCACTTTAGCAAGGCAAAAAAAGCAGGGTTGTGTAATTTAGATGCTGCAGAGTAGAAATTGCTGTGATAAAGCTTTGTAAACATTTAAAACTGAAGTGTGTGCGCTCTCAGCGAAACCTTGTTTTGCCAGGACCCAGTACCACAACGGAGACTGAAACCATCGCAAAGTATGAGATAATGGATGGTGCACCAGTTAAAGGTAAATAACAGTGCCTGTTTCAAAGGGTAAGCATTTTGAGTTTAAAACTGTATTTAAAAAAAAAAATCTGGAAGAGAAGAGATGACTTGCACAAATTTTTCTTAGAGAAACAACACTTCACAGGTTGCTGAGATGATAGTGGATTTTCCTATTCAAAGCAGATGTTTTTCTTGACTTGGGGCATTTAACTTGGGATCCTAGTAATTCTTACCCTTGTTTACTATTGGAAATTCTATGACTGATCTTTTTATTGTTTTGGTTCAAACGTGACTCCGTGGTGTAGACCAGGTCTAGAAAGTTCAAGATACTCATCCTTTTGTCTCGCCTGACTACGATGCTTCCACTGAGAAGATGTTCCCACTTTTGATTTCATACTTACCTCTGTGCTCAGTGTTATGTTTGTGATGTTTTTTGCTATGTGTTTTTTTTTTTTTTGTTAACCAAGGAAGGGGCACAGACAGTGTTTGGGAAACTGCCTTGATTTTGCATGTCTTCTGAAACTGGATTAATGACATCCAGTTTTAAGGAACTAATTGAAACTTTCTTTTTTTAAGGTGAATCAATTCCTATAAGACTGTTCTTAGCAGGCTATGACCCAACTCCAACTATGAGGGATGTGAACAAAAAGTTTTCAGTGAGGTACTTCTTAAATCTCGTGCTTGTGGATGAAGAAGACAGACGGTACTTCAAACAGCAGGTATGGTCTATAGGAATCTCGTTGCATTATCTGGCCTGTTGTACACGCTGCTTTGAACTTTCAGCACATTAGAAGCCACCTGTGCTTCATGTGTGGCATAAGCACTTCTGCTGGTGAGTGTGTTGGAGCTCTATAGAAAATGTTAGCTTGCAAAAAGGAGCCAAGGGGGATGATGGATACTATTTCAGCAAGGATAGGATGCTCAGTGCTATAGAACCACCTTGCACTGTGAATATCCAGACAAAACACTTTGTGGGTAAAATGAGCTACAGGTGCATTGATTTGCTTGCTTGCTTAAACTACTGCAGATAAATTTCCCTTCCCAGCATTACCCCAGGTTCAAAATTGTAATAAAGGGCTAAGACTTTTGACTGAGAATGTGACAAAAGTTGAGGTCTTTCTGAGGAACAGAATAGTGAAAGGGTCACTGGAATGAAGCTATGTGGATTAGATCAGAATCTTCCTTTTAAAGAACACACAAGGCAGTATAATTAGGTATGGAAAACAAAAGGTAACTGGAGCATACAGTGGCTATGATGGGCTTTGGATTTTGAGAAAGGGAAGAAAAACATCTATTTGTAACTATCAAAGTTGGGAGTAGGATTATTAAGGAAGACGGTACTGCTCAAGATTGATAAAGGTCAGTGTTCAGGCATGAACTAAATATGTAAACTTAATGGTGTTGTCTTTCTGTTACTTTCCATATGTACTGTAGTGTTCTGTAAGTAATGGGGATGCAGAGTTTTTTGGGGTTTTGGGTGGGGATTTTTGGTTGTTTTTTTTTTTTCTTTCCAAAACGTTTTTACCTACCAGGAACTTAAGATACTTGATGCTGCTGGCTTAGTGGTAAATGGTGGTTTCAAAAGTGTTTGCTTCCTCAAATAGGAAATAATTCTATGGAGGAAAGCTCCTGAGAAGCTGAGGAAACAACGAACAAACTTTCACCAGCGATTTGAATCTCCAGAATCACTAGCATCTGCTGAGCAACCTGAAATGTGAACTGGTATAAGGTGAAAAACTTTGCGATGCTTCAGCAGGTTAAAGATGGCAGCAGCCTGTGGGAAAAGAAGGCCAAAATTACCATCACAACTGTCTTCCTTCGTCTTGCAGTGCTGCTTTTACCATACTACTAAAACATTCTTCAGTTAAACATTCAAGTATGTATATACATTTAAAATAAAGTGCTTTCTCAAACACTGGAACTTTCTTAAGCTACTATTTTATACTGCACATTTACTTTTGTTTGATAATATTATATGCACTTGGATATGCAAAAGCTTAAATCTAGTTATTTCCATGCATGGTAGGCTGGTATATGTTGATTTTTGCTGATCACCTGTACCATGTAGACTAAAGCATTTCCCATCTCTCCTGTTGTTCATTGCATGTTTCTTTCCAATGTTGCTTATTTGCATTTTTTTGTTGTTGTTTCAAAACTACAGTAAGACACAATTGACTAAATCACACTAAAAATCGAGGTTCATGGTGAATTTGTCCTGAGACTTCTAATTACTATGTTAGACAGGGTTTAACTGCAACTGCATGTATATGCACTATGACTATGATAACTGTGGAGCCTTCAGACACCTTATCAAGGTTTCTAAAGCTTTGAATCTCTCAGTAGCAAAGAATGTTAGGAAGCATCTTTGCTGTCCCTTCTCCAATTCTTTCTCCCCCATACTTCTCTGAGCCTTTCGTGTGAGTCCCTCCTGACATTTGGAGGTTCGTTGCCCAGTAACTAGTGACTGTAGGGATGTTGTCATGATTTGACCCTCAGGTGGTGAGTGGGTCAAGTATTTGAACGTTAATTATCTCTTATTGATGAAATAAATACTGGTAACATTGATTATTTTGCAAATACATGGAACTATGTGTTTTCTCCTGGCTTCATGCTTCCACTGTCTTAACAGTCTGCCTCTCCTGTCAAGACAGTGAGGAGACAAAATGTCCTTAAAGGACATCCTCCTCCTAGTCCATCTGGACCTGTTAGGAGGGCAAACAAGCTTTTTGTGGTCTTCTGGAAAGGTATTTTGAAGCCAGGCAAGCCTTAAAACTGTTAGAAGTTTGTCTGGCACAGCAGATCGTTTGTCCTAATCATCTCATACGCATTTAGCGTTGGAAGAAATAGCTTAAAGGAGTTTAGCCTTCATCTGTCCCCAACTGAGCACGTCGTCTGTTACGAGACGTGTGGCTTGGGCACGAACGGAGCCTGCTGGGCAGAAGGCTACTTGCGCTTCTAGTTCACTTGGCCTTTAAACCAGGAACTCGTAACTCCGGTGCAAGTGTCATTGGTAACCTTACTTTATGAGTAAGTGAATAATCGAATTATATTTCTGTAAGAACTGTTTTATTGCTGCGGCACTTTGATAAAGCAGACAGAGACTCTGCGTACTTTACGCTAGGATACTTCTAACGCGGATATTTTTGAATGAGAGCGAATTTAACTCCCTCATGTAAGTGCCTGTTCAGAAGTTTAAAGAGTAACGTGAAAAGCCAAATATTTCCATGGTCACTTGCATGTTGTAATCTGGAAATGACTCTGAAGAGAGGTTTTGAAAACTCGATTGTACTTAACCAGCCTCAAATTGTGCAACCATGTATAATAAACGGGGAACACGCCGAGCTGCTCTTTGAATTATTAAAACAGCTGTATTCTCACTAACATCTGGGTCGTCTTTGTTGATGGGCTCAGCCCTGGGGCGGAGGGGCCGGGCGGGGGCGGGGCCGCCG